TGCAAGTCATTGAACACGCTTTGACAGAGAGCGATAGCGGCTCGCCCAAGTGGCTATTTGCTTTGCATCGACGGGCCCCGATGCATTCAAAGCAAACTGGCGTTTTCCTTTTCTGCCGCTCCCGCAACCTTTTTTGCATGACAATGCTTTCCTGCCTCGGCCGCAACAGTAAGTAGATTTGACTGTTGTCATGCTAGGTTGCCCCCCCCCACCCCCCATTCCGCTCCCCTTCCGCGCCCACTCCCTTTTCCTATCCTTGGTGGCTGCAATTTTAAAGATGCCTGTCTTTTATTTATCTCTAAATTTCCTCTGGGAACAAGACACAAAACAACAAGAGGCCGTATGGGGAAGGGGGAACAACCCCCCCCCACCCTCAAAAAAACCCACACACAATAGAAAGAAGAAGCAAAAGACAAGATGATGGAGGCGGAAGCGATGCTGGCGGTGGGAGAAATAGTTCAGATCAATATCAGGAATCTACGGGGATTTGAAGTGGCGCCCAGGGACAGTTTAGAAGCGGCGCATCCGCTGCCGATTGTGTGTCGTCTAACCCGGGGGGGGTGGGGGCGAGACCAGTCAGCTCTGCTCGACCGCAGTGCTTGACGAATCAATAGCCCTGCTTTGTGTGTGTGTGTCGGTGTGTGTGCGCGTGCGCCCCAAAGGCGGCGAATTCAAACGTGGAGTTTGGGTCGAAATAAATATCGCAATAAATGAGTCCCGCTTCTTCGTTTTGATGTCGCTTGTGATTTTAGGACTATTTTTATGTCAATTTGGCTGTACTAGCTATTCTGCAAACTAATAAAATCGTGATCGTTCCAATCATGTCATTCCACGGCAGAGATTTTCCAGCCAAGTCTGCGTGACGACTTCAAAAGCCAAAAGGCAGCGGCGACGCCGTCTTGCGATGAATGCAGATGCTTTCAATTAGCATGCGCCAACAGCTGGCGCCGCCGTACTTGAGAGATCGGAGCGAGCGCCGGCGCCGTGTTGTTGTTTTGCAAACCCGAAACCGTTTTTTTTTTTTAATACAAAGCTTTGGAGGGGAAGGAAGAGAAACCGAAAAAAAAAAGTGGAACATGAGGGACCAACTGTGTGTTTTGTTCGCTCACCAAACGCGTTGTAGCATCCAGTTATGGAATTTAGAAATGATTTATTGGCCGCGGACCGCCCGACGATGCGTCACGGGTGACGGTTCAACACGAGCGATTACGCGGTCATCCATCTTCGGACCTTGGGAGGGGGGCGGGGGTTGGGGGGGGTGTCACAAGGTGAAGCACGACGCGTCTCTCGCGGATTTTCCCGCGGTGCCATTTTTTTTTTTTTTTCCTCCTTCATCCAGTTGCAGAAATGGCTTTTCGGTTGGATCTTAACCACTAAAACTTTTTTTTTTTTTTTTCTCCTTCATCCAGTTGCTGAAATGGCTTTTCGGTTGGATCTTAAACACTAAAACGACGCGTTGGGGAGTTTCTTTCGCGATGCGCGTGTACGGTCCCCCCCAGTCGCTCCGAGTATTTTATTGTGACAGGGAGTTTCTTTCGCGATGCGCGTGTACGGTCCCCCATGCCCCCCCCCCCTCAAGTCGCTCCGAGTATTTTATTGTGACAATGTATGCACAGTTGCGAGCGTTCTGTGCAAAGAGAAATGAGGGCTCAAGTGTGCTTACTGAAAGCTCGAAGCAAAATGAAGCAAGATGCGACATTCAATGACGGTTTCCGAAGCAGTGTCGCACAAACACATCTCCATTTTTTTTTTTTGTTTGTGTTTATTTTTTCCCCTCCCCACCCGACTACACCCGAAGGCTGTCACTGCCCTCACCGTCGAGCATCGGCGCTGACGTCGCCGCGGTTTTCGTCTCTCTCAAGGGCAAATGTTTGTCGTAAAGGAAGAGCAACCTCTTCTTGTGTCACTTGCAAGTTGAGCAACATTCCGCCATTAACCTCGTCCATTCTCCACTGTGTTATTCTTTTCCGAAGGTATCGGTAGCGGCTCCTGCTGACGACGGGACAAAGAACCACCACTCAACGCGCAATAACGGAGCAGAAGGTCAGTAAAAATGACACACAACAGGAGTCGCCGTTATGAGAGCGCCGTCACCTTTTGCACGGAGCTGCGTGACCTTTTTCGCCCATTGATGCCTCAATTATGGCGGCGGAAGGCCTCCCGTGTGTTACGTGCGAGGCTTTAAGCCTGATTCACTGTCGCAATTCCGTCGTCCGCGGCAGGCTGCGAAATAAAAGGCCACGTCGGCGAGGGGGCTGGCGATGTAACTCGCTTTACTCACAATCTGGGTCGGCGTTTATTCGTGGCGCACGATATCGTACCGAAACGTGGCGTGAGTATGCCGATTGGCCGCACGAGGTTGACAAACTCGATTTGAAGTCACTCGGTCAGAAGAGCGAAACGAAGCGACAAAATAGTTTATGCCAAAGAGCATCTGCCACATTTTTATTTTTTTGACGAAAGCTTCCAATGTTTTGCTTTGAGTTGGCCTCAACCTGCTTTCTCAAATTCTTCTCAGTCGTCGGGAAATTCACAGCGGGAGGTCAAAGCGACGAGAACAAAATAAATAAATTGTCTTTTTCGACCGCGGAAGGTTGCGCGCGTGGGACGAAGGCTGACGTGCAGCCACTCGGTCTTTTTGAAGTGGATTCTGACAAAAGCGCCGTTTTATCGAAGGTAACGGGCGGGATTTGCAAAATTGCGCCGCCTCGTCTCGGATTTCGTTGCCAGATTTGAGTCGCCTTGGAAAACGCCGAGACCAAAGAGTGTGAAGTGCGCTTTCATGTGAGCACAAAAGGAGAAAGGAGACGGCACCCGTCGTCGCACAGAAGCTCACTTGGAAAGTTTTGCCGTTTGCTTTCGCTTGCCTCACTTAGCAGATGGCCGTGCTTTGTGCTGTGGGACTGCTGTGACGCCGTCCATAAAGCAGCTGTAAGAAAGGAAGGGGGGGTTCTTAGCGCCATGTCCGGAACGACTTCTGGGGGGCCTTATCTCCCGAATCGTAGGACAAAAAAAAAATAAATACACGATGAGGGCTGCGGAGTTGCGATTCCGTCATCCGTTCTGACACAGTCGCGAGCTCCGGACAGGGCAATGTGATGGACAGCTGGAGAAATTGTTTGAATCTCTCGGTCGAACTTTTTTTAAGCATTTATCATGTTGCTCCTCGCCGCAGAAACTTCAGAATTGGGCCTTGCGGGATTTTGCCACTCCTGTCAATCCGCGCCGTTAGCTTAAACAGCTAACAGCTAAACAGTGAACAGCGCATTCATACACATGGGCTTTTTGTTGTTGTTGCTGTTTTTATTTTATTTTGTTAAAGTTCCTGTGACCGTGCAGTGACTTTTAAATATTTTTCGTAAGGCCGTCGCTTTTTTTGGACCGCCATTTTGAGTTTCAAGTGAAGCAAGTCAACCTCGGCCGCCGCGTGTTCCCGCGCGCCGAAAGGGAGTCGAATCACTCGGCACCCTACAATTGATCATATCGCACGTGGCCGTGATTAAACACCCACTGGCGCTTCCAAATTAATCACGCGCTGCGCGAACTTGGCATTAATCACGCGATATAACACCCCCCCGTCTCAGCTCCGTCTCAATTCCACAGTCCGACTGTAATGGGGGAGATTCCTCCCATTGGACAATTAATAACGACCGCCGCGCCGGCCCCCCCCTTCTCTTTGTTGGGTGATGATTGAGGGGAGGCAACAAGGGCTTCAATTGAGTTTATTAACATCAGCGCCGGAGGCAAGAGTGAGGGAGGGGGAAGGACAGGATGATTAGAAACGGAGTGAGGGAAATAAGAGAGAGACGGCGAAAGGTGATGGAGTCATTGGCGCCGACTCCCGCCGGAGTGCCATCGATCTTCTTTATCGCTTGAAGATTTTTTTTTTTTTATATCTTTCTGTTTATCTCTTTGTAATAACCTTCTGCTAGCAAGCAAGTAATTCACGAGCTACTGCCATCGCCGTGCATCACGGCACATAGAACGCAAAGGCGAATGAAGCTGAAAAAGTGATTGTATGTTTTTTTTTGGGCGGGGGGGGGGGGTCGGCGATGACGCTGCTGTCCAAAAAAAAAAAACAGTTTGAGAGGTCAGATTCAACCGATGACGGGGTCGATTTGGCTTTTTAGCGTTTGCGTTTCTCACTCCATCCGACTTTTCGGTCGCACGACAATCGGATTTATTTGCGACGCTCGGTCAGAAAGAAAGAAATCGCTCGGGCGAGGTGTCAAAGCCTCACTTGTGAGACGACAGCGGAAATTCAAAGCCGCGCGGCTGAGACAGAAGGGTGAATTATTTGCAGAAAATGAAGTGTGACAAGAGAGACAGTTTCACTTGATTGCTAAAAGACGCGCGATATTTCAAACGCGAACGCAAATGAGGGCCAGCTGAGGCACGGAGGGGGAAAAAAAACCCCCAAACATTTGTGTTCGGGTGCGCCAATCTGCTGGTGAGTGTGTAGCGACCTTTCTTTTCCTGCTTGCTGAGGTCATCCAAGGGCAAAAGATTGGACTCGAAAAAATAATTTCGGTTCGAGTTGAGTGGAATGTCATCATTGGCTTATCGGAGTGTACCTCGTTTTTGTGGCGAGCGCAATTCACGCCGCTCCATCCAGGACGAACGAATGAGCGCCTCGTCGGTAAAACTGAAGTAGGTCAATTTGTCCGCAACCGAAGTGTGTCGAAAAGGCGCAGGGGAAGAAAATCCAGGAGAGGATGTTGTAAGGAGGCTCTCAGTGAGGATCAAAAACTTTTTGGATGCGACGTTATTAATCCTGGCAAGACCAACCCCGATTTTGGCATCCGCCTCCTTCTGGCTTTTGGGAACAATCCCCGCAATGCTGCAAGCTGCGAATGGGGAAACTCTGGCGTGTCTCGTGGGCGCGGCCTGCCAAAAACAGGATGTTTTCCTGGCTGAGGCGGACAATACAATCCAACGCGGGAGGGTGCCAGCTCCTTTGAAGCTCCTTGGCAGTCTTCGAGTGTTCCACGTGAGCTGCGCAGCGCCACCGGCGGACAGACGTTTTGTTTTTTTTTTGGTTTTTTTTCCTCTTTCCCTCCGATGGCGGCGTACGGAAAAAGCCGAAGGATGCGGGCGGTGTCGAATCTGCAAATGAAAACAAAGCGCTCCTCTCGCCCGTTCGTTTCGAGCCGTTGTTGTCGAGCCAGCTCTGCGCGCAAGGTCCGATAACGTCTGCGGGAGATAACGACGCAGCAATCGCCCCCCCACCCCCTGCGCGCTCACTCATGCCTTCCCGGTCCATTAGCCCGCCGTGCGTGCCGCCTCCGTGCCCGAGCTGTGACTAAATTAAACCCCAGTACAAAAAAATATCTTGTCTTCCGCTTCCTGCACGCGTCCTTTTGATTGACGTCAGTGACGGAAATCGTCACATCGTCGTCGCCGCTAAGTTACTTCGTAGTCATGGAAATGGTTAGCGGTAAATTGCTGCTAACAGGAAGTAGAGCCCTTTTTTTTTTTTGTTGTTTTTTTAGATGTCCCCGTAGGAACGCACTCGCTCGCGCTTGGACAAATCAAACAAGGCAGACAAAGAAAGAAATAATCATATTCTGTATAAGGCCTCCCCCGTTTGTCGCCACACGCTGCGAGCAAAGCGCCTCGTCGTCCCCCCACCCCGTTCATCTCCCGTCATCCTTCACTCTCGGTCTATTTCGCTCCTGTCTGTCCCCGAAGCAAATCAGGCTTCATTCCATTTTTAATGTTGTTTGTAATTGCTTGGCGCTCTCAACACGTCAACAACCGTTGCCCCTTCCAAAAAACAAAACAAAAAAAAAAAAAAACAATCTTTTTTTTCTTCTTCTTTTCTTCCAGAGCGTTTGTCCATGCCTGGCGAGCAGCGATCTCCATCAGACTGGTACGTGCTGCAAAACAGATTGTTTTTCTTTGCCGTGAGTATCACTGGAGTTGAGCAGCTCCCGAGTCGCCGTACACGCAATGACGCGCATTCCACTTTACACTTTGAAGCGCACATTTCAATTTTGTTTTTTTCCGACAAATCAAACACCGACGTACTGGAGTCTGCCGACAATACGAAAACTCGGAAATGCCTGCTCGCCGCACACAATGCTCCTTATTTGCGCAATATTTCTAGACGAGAACCGAAATTGAAAGCCTCCCCGCGCGGGGCTGACGGCGAAACAAAAAGCGCGCCTGCTGTCATTTGCGGCCTGCCAGCCTCGTACTTGTCAAAACACAAAAGCTGCTCAGTGAGCCCGCAAGATTTCATACGCCGCCATGACCGCGATGAACAAAAGCTAATCCCGAAGCGAGAGTCGGGGGTCGCCGAGCGTGTCCCGATATGAATCAAAGTTCACCTTCACGTGGGCGCCGATCTTCATATTGGATGCCCCCAAATATCAGGACGAGCTCGCGGCTGTCGAGTCAGACGGCCGATCGGCAAATTCACGTGAGCGGATCTGATATTCGCCATCGAGTGACCATTTCCTGACCCCGACCAAAAGTCTGCCTGCTCAGAATCCTCGCCGTATCTCCACCGCAGCGTATGAAGGCCAAAGCGAGTCGCGTCCTTTCCAGCGCATGCACCGGGATTTTATTCAGTGCTCTTTTTTTTCCCCCCCCCCCCCCCCCGCCCCCCATGCAGGTTTACAGCATGTCCACACGGCGGCCGAATGGAATTCCGCACTTCTGAGGCAGCCGATCGCTGACATTGAGAGAGCCCCGCGCCGTGACCCCCTCGGACCGGCAGCCGTTAAATCTTCAAACCGGGAAAGGGGGATGGGGGGGTGCGACGGGGAGATGATGAGAAGCGAGAAGCGGTTGATGATGTCGCACTCCAGTGAGCATGGGCGAGGAGGAAAAATAAGTATCAATTTCTCAAGGGGCTCTAAATCAGGACGGGGTTCGCCGAGACGACTTTATCGTTCAATCTGGCCGCCCGCTCCGGAGGCGTTAGCGAGGTTAGACAAGCGAGAAGACGAGCGTGCCCGCTTCGCTAGAACAATCATCATCTCGCCCAGCCGCCACCTCGCGACCTGTAAATTGATTAAGCAGAGCGCGGTGGCAAAAAAAAAAAAAAAAGATTCATTCTCGGGCGCGATTTCGACGGGGCCTTCATCAGACGCCGCGTCATTCCAATGTAGAGCAAAGATTATGAAAGGCTGCGAGGGGGTAATGGGAAAACTCCAAACTCATTGGCGGCATTTATATGAGAAGACGCGTGGCCCGTTTTTTTTTTTGTCCCATGACTGTCTGTTTCATTAAGGAGAATCTCTCCGCTAAATCAGAGCAGATAACTTATTTAGCGGGAAGCTGGGAGGGGGGGGCTGGACGAATAACCGCGGGGCCGTGTTTTCCCAGAGAGGCATGACGCTAAAGAGTTGTGAATGGGACTCGCCCATCCAAACATCGCAGGCCGAGTCGCGCAACGTTAACGTTCATCTGACCCGTTGACACAAACACGCTTGACATCACTTGACTCCGCCCCCTCTTTTTAGGAGATCCGCGCTGATCGGCGGCCGTGCCGTAGCGTCCGAGTGTGCAAATCGAGGGTGGATTGAGACAAAAAAGGTGCTGGCGGTTTTCCCACGCGCCGTTTAAGCTCCCGACCTACTATACTGTCAATGTTTACCTTGAGTCTTCCTCTTTTCCTGCGCTCCCGAAGGAGGAAAATTCAAAGAGGGCGGGGGGGGCAGCTCCGTCCGTGCAGCTTAAAAGTATCCCCGGGCAAGGTTGCGATACGCAAGTCGCCGTAAATTTCAAGTGACAGCAAGCTAGCAAGTGTACAAAGCCGACTAGCGTCAGCTGCGCCGATAAACACGCGACATTTACTTTTCCGGCTTTTCTTTGACTGTATTGAAAGCAACTTATTTACTTGTCCACCTTCATTTGGTTGGAAGAGAAAGTGCAGGCGGCGTTCATTGTTTGTTTTTTTTTTTTTAGATGACGAAGGGAGTTATGAAATGAGTTGCTTGAAGAGACGTGAAAATATGATGCCAGTGGAAGAGAGGTTGAACAAAGACGTTTATTCCCACCGCAACCACGCAGACTGTCACTTTCCAGTGCGCTGTTCTTTTTTTTTTTTTTTTTTTCCCCCCCTCTCACCTGGTTTGGTTTTCACCCTTTGTTCTGTACATTTCCTCGCTCGGTTTAAACGTCAACGCTCGGTAAATGGCATTGGAGGAATTTCGGAGAAAATGAATGCACTTTTTCTTTTTTTAATGGACTAACTCAAGCTCAAGTACTTGATGAATTATATTGAAAAAAAATAAAAAATATGAGCATGAGTCAGTCCAGAAGTGAAGGACACTTTCTGCCCCCCCTCCACCCTCCCAAAAAATTGTTAAGAGCAACAAAATATGACTAATGACTAATTTGCATACAAATTCAACAGCTGAAATAAGTCAAATATTTTTTGGGGCTTTGGTTTTGTTATTTTCTCTCCCTTGTAATTGTTGAAATAGTTTGTCAGAAATTACATCAGGGCCACGAGTAGGCTGAATTAGTTCTGAATTTTTTTTTTCCCCCCTATTAGCATGCAGCTAATAGAGGTAGCACATTAGCATTGATTCACAATCCTGATATTGTTAAGTAAGAGTCGCATTAAGCTAAAAATGGATGTAATTTGTTTCATCTTTATTTAATGGCATCGGCAACAGCATTGCGCCAAACATAGAAAGCGATATGACAAATCAAACGCGCCCTTGACGCTCGAGCTGGACTCATCAAATTAGCATATCTAAAACATAAACCAAAACAACGTTATCCAAAAACGTTGGCGCTTTGCAATCCTTCCACGACCCGTAAATTGTTTGACTCGCGGCTCTCACGGTGTCGTTTTCCACCCGAGCGGGCGGTGTGGGGGCTGGGGGGCGCCTTTTATTTTCATTTCCGACAAAATAAGGCGGAAAAACCAAAAGAGCGAGCGCGATGCTTGCGGGCCAACTCGCGAGTCAGCGACTCGCTAATGTTGCAGTGGTGTTCTTTGCTTTCCAGAGCCAGAAAATTTCCCCTCAGGAGTGCAACACTTTGGACTTCGATTCGTCAAGTGGACAGCGTCTTGGCTGCCGAATGAAACGGCATGCCTCGTGCCACGGGAAGCACGCGTCTGCCGTATCAACTCCGGGCATGACATGACGGTTTTCTCTCTCTCTCTCTCTCCCGCTTTCTGAACGCGAGCCTGTTATATCGCGTTAATCAAAGCCAGTCATACACAAGCGACGATCGCGAGAGAACGCTGGAGTGCTTGAGAGCGGCGTGGCCGTCCACTCTGCTTAAGAAGCGGATTAACCTTTCCGCAGATGTCATCATATAATAAGGAGGCGCGGCGTGGCCGCACGCTGGCATTTGTCTTGGAGGAGGTGCGGGGCGAGGGCGACTAAATGCCAGCAGTAATGAAGCGGCTTTTAGCCCGGGCCTCCGCTAAAGTGTGCTTCAAAAAAAAAACGAGAGGCCGCAGCTCCCTTTTCCGCGCATAGTTAGCACCGATGCTTATCGCGGACTCCGACTCGTTTTCAAGCTCGTGTCGCGACAGGCTGGCGGCTCCTCTGACAGTTCCCTCTTTTTGTGGGCGCTCTCTTTATTCCAAATCCAGTTTCATGGCTGGTGGAAATTCTCACAAGCCGCTCAAATCGAGAGATACTTGCTGGGCATTTGCATTTCTTCTCGGCGAGAAAAAAAAACCCCGAGTGTGAAATTGCACTTTCGCTCGCATAATGTTGAAGAATTGCCGGCCGGGAAGCTTCCCTCGGAGAAGTGCTGCCGCTGCTGCTGCTGTGTGATGTCACATCGTCAGGGTGACGGCAAATGAATTTGTTTCAGCGCCCCATCACTTCTGCCTTTGACGTCCCACTTTGCGATGCCGACAGACTTGAGCGTGGGGGGGGGGATTAATTAGCTTTGCACGTCACTGAGAGTAAACGAAATCATATATCGACTAGATGAGCTGTGAAAACGGCAAGAAAAGCCATTTTTCCTCTCGGGCGGCGAGACGGTTGAGGGTGAAATGATCGTTAGCGTCGGCTAGCAACATTTCCTGTTGCTCTGCGGCGTTAAGAGAACCGGATTTAAGCGGGACTGAGAGTGGAAGAAAGCCTCGGCTGAACATACACCCGATCAACGTTTCATGCTTCCAACTGTGTCAACATGCACAACGCCTCAGGGGGTCGAGCAGCGGCGGAAAACCGTCGTTTTCTCCGGCGCGCACGGTGGTCGAATACTCCGGCAAGTCAAGAGTTGGAAATGCGTGTAGTTACCCCATCAACTCAAAAGTGGATGAAAGCTGCTCCGGGGATGTTGAAAGAGTTCAGAATGTCGGGGAGAAAATCTTTGGTTTATCGAGCTGGGCTCTCCTCCGGCGGCCCCCCGACGGCGAAGCCGAAGCCGCGTATCGATCGGGCGGTGCAAAGGGGAGGACCCCGCAGACCTGACGGCAAACCGCTTCCGCGCACCCGAGGCGCGGCAACTCTTTGGGTGAATCCCCGTGCGGCGAAACCAGCTCATAAAACGGTTAAAATGTTTACAGCCGTTCACAGCGCAAAACTCTTAACGTAAAAGTGCAATGGCAAAATGTTGGAGTGCAGGTCCACGCTCCGGAAGGGCTTCACCTATTTGAGTTGGGTTTCAGGATTGTGTTTTTCAGAGATAAACGTGAGCATAATAGAAAGCCATCCAAAGCTCGCCGCCTCTCCTGTTTGGGGAACAGTCTCCCGACGCGTCTGCCAAATATCAATCCTGCCCTTTCGGGTCGGAGAACTTCCTGAATGCGGTCAAATGGCGGCCCGGGGAGGCGTGAATGGCGTCCTCCGCGTGGCTTCTGTCGAGGTGACAAAGGTGGCAAAGTTCCTCGGCGGGAGCGAGAGCGCAAAATGCCGTTTACCGGGCACCTTGCGCAGCTGCAAACCTCTGCCACAACCTTGATGACAAATCGTGCTCCGGCAAAGCGATACTCAGGCAAGGAAAGCAAACGGTGGGGGGGTTAATTCCCCCGCCATCCTCGCGTTCCCTTCCTGTGGCGAGCAAGCGAACGTGGCCAGCTGGCTGGAGACGTCAACAATGAAACCGACACAACATTGCGCGGCTCAAGCGAGCAACCCGCAGCTTCCCTCCACAGCGATGACAAATATTCACTTTTTTTTCCTTTTTAGGCGTGGAGCCGGATATCGAGAAAGCTGGAACGGAATTTGGTGCCGCGTGCGAGGAATGCTCCGTGGGAACACAGATTCGCTACCGCCGGCTCCGTCACATGGAAGCGTGTGTCCAGGTTCATGCGTGCGTGTGCGTGTGTGTGTCACATTCATCTCCCAATTTCTTCTACTTTCCAGTCATCCTGTAAAGACGCAGGTGCGCACGCCGACATCCTCCAGACCGCAGCTGAGGAACGAAGCCTGTGCCATGGTCACTTGCGTGCATCTTGATTGAGATGATTTTATTTAATGCAACTGAAACAAAATTAATGAAGAAAATTCAACAAAAACTTTTTGTGTGTGTGTGTGTGTGTGTGTGTGTGAGGCCAGTGCCACATAGCATGCGGAGGCCCTCAGCACGTGAGCGCCGCGTGTAATTGTGCGGTAGCAAAAGCCACTTTGTAGCACTCCTCCTGAGCCTCATTGACTCGGTAAATATCATTAACAAAGCCTCTCGCGCACGCGCGCACGCACGACCCGCGCGCCGCAGCAGTCCCACGGCTACAACCGCGACTTCCCGCGCTATTCGAGCAGCTCTAAATGACTATAATTAAGCCATTTGTCTCCACGTTTAACCCCAAAAGACCAGCGCGAGTCTGAAAATGCAACGTGCGCACGGAATGGGATCATCGGCGATTGGATTGCGGCCGCCCAGAGAGATTGCGGAACCTTGCTGCCGCTCGTCCGACGAACCTTGAACCCATTTGCGCCACTTGAAAAGACTACCGTATTTTACGCACTGTAAGGCGCAGTGAAAACTCTTCCATTTTCTTAAAAGCTCACAGCGCGCCTTAAAATCCGGTGCGCCTTCTGTATGGTCATTACGGTAATATGTCGACCCCAAGATGGCTCCTTGCTGGAGACATGCTTACAATGTTAGAACTTGCTGTTGGTTTAATGAACTGTGTCGCTGCTTTATTTAAGTTAAATAAGTTTTTGTTGCAGCTCCGAAAAAAGGAGAGCTGTAGTGTTGTGTTTTTAAAACGCACACTTTATTCATGGTTTTCACAGTCTCTAAAAATTCAGGTACGTCTTTGTCCGTCGCCGTGCCTTCCCTTCTTCCGTTCGACTCGAGAGGCGTTCATGACCGCCGCCGAAAAACGTGAATTAATGATTACTTCAATTGAAACTCCGAAAATTGAAAAGAATGCATCAAAACACAAAATCAAGTGAAAAAAAATCACAAAATAAATTCTGTAGCCCCCCTACAGAAATTATTTTGTGATTTCCTCATTTGTAAATACAGTTCACAACAAAGGAATAAATAACAAACACTTCTGAGACAGTCCAGTCTCCTCCATTTGACTGACAGCCGATCGTTCTATTGGAGCTACGCTCAAGGAAATGCCAAAATAAATTCTGTAGGGGCTGCTATAGAATTTATTTTGTGATTTCCTTGCTTGATTTTCTCTTTTGATGCATTATTTAAAATTTTCGTAGTTTCATTGAAGGAATCGTTAATTTACATTTTTCGGAGGCGGTCATGAACGCCTCTCAAGTCGAACGGAAGGAGCGTAGCTCCATCTAGTGGATGCATTGTAGATTGCGTTTTATAATCCAGTGCGTCCAATATATGAAAAGAAATGACTAAATTGTCCATTCATCGAAGGTACGCCTCATAATCCAGTGCGCCTTTTAGTGCGGGAAATAAAGTATTTACATTCAACAAGTGAGTTCCAAAACCAGCAGGGTGGAACTTTGAGGTGAACCTGGTCACTTTGACGATGAAACGAATCGTGTTTTTTCTCTGATGGGAGTTTTTGGTCTTACAACAACACCTGCTCGGGGTGAGCGCACGCAAAGATCTCTAATTAGCGCAGGCCGCGGAGGGGGCGAGAACGCCTCGGCGCCTCAACGGCGGCGGCGACAACTTGCGGCGCTTTCTTGCAACCCAAGTCCCGTTTGGCGTGTAAACTTGCGGCAGACAGATGTTCCTAATACCGTGATGTCACCGCCACGACGACGATCGGTGCCGTCGGCGCGGCAGCAGGTGTTCCGCTTTCAAAACGCACCCCCCACCCCTTCCCGGCCGACCTCGGCGGGCCGCGTTTCGCACCGCGCGTTCCTAATGGCGCTGATGTCCTCTAATGACGAACACGTCGTTCTAATGTTGCACAGCGGCGGCATCGGACCAAGTAAATATTTAATAACGCATTACACTTAATGGCTGACTGGCTGCTCGCTGATGAGCTGCCGGAACGCGGGGCGTAACGAGCCGTTAGCGGGAGGATCCCGCCCCCACACACATACACACGCGTCTGATCACCCAGACTAAAAACCATTTTACATTATGCATGAAAAGCGGCAATGAGAAGCAGCAATTTGCTCCAAAACAGAAACGTCGGCTCGGCTAATGAGATTTATGACACTTTAAAGTGCACGTAACCTTGACTTGCACGGATAGGATACATTCAGTCGTAGGCGGAACGCAAGCCGACCGTTACGTAACACCATCGGTGAAATCGAGAGATGCCTTTTTCCGTACTTTTTTATTTTTTTTTAAAGTCTCTTCCCTGGCGGGTTGGTGGGACGAGCGCGTCGAGGTAATCCCTGCGCTCTCCAGGGTTTCGCGAGCGTCTTCTACGCGCTGACATTTTGCCGATCAATAAGAGAGCGAGTTGGAAGTCGGAGTGATTGTTGACATTTTGCAAGGCAGATGCACTCGGCGAGCGATAAATAGAATTCCGTGACGGTTTTGTTTTTTTTATGCGTTTTGACCCCATATGCCAAAGCAAAAACTTTTTGGTCTCGCCGGAGACGAATGTCTGCCATCTGCCGCGGCTCCGCATTTACAATTTTAATACTTTCTACAAGGCTCTTGCGGGTACAGTGTGAGACGGCAACAAATCCACGCGCAAATGAAAGGGAAATGAGAACCGTCGGCGCCCGATCCCTTTTTTTAGAACACCGCCAGACTTCAGACGGGGATTGCGCTTATTAAAAAACCTGCTCAACCTCTAATTTGTCACTTCTGTCCCAGCCTGCCAAGACGACCCTTTCGGCCCTTTTCTCAAACTCGACGCGGAAAGCTGCTTGCAGTTGCAGTGCTCGGCAGAGAACTGGCTGATGCAGAAAAGACTTTTGGGGGGGGGGGCTTATGGCCTGCTTGGCTTTTCCGGAGACGACATCCTACCTTGAGTTTACGTTGCTCCCCTTTTGTTCCACTTTTGCTCGCCTTTTGATGAATTATTCATGAAGCCGGCGGCATCGAACGGAAACCACTCAGCGCGTACTTAGCGAATGAAAGGCACGTTTTTGTAATTTGATAGATTGGTATTAGCATTTCAGTTTGTTGAAAGTCGGCTGTAATGGCAATTTGACACAAAACGGCGCGAAGTGGAAGGAACTGTTTGTACGATTGATTGCTGACCAGTTATTTTTTCGGGATTAGCAAAGTTGCCTGCACACGCACAAGTCTGTACTCTGTGTAGCTGCTCAAAATGCTGACCTGCACCAACTCCCAACAAGATAAAATGAGAGCGCAAGACGCGGCGGGGGTGAAGGCTCCCTTGACAGGTCTGTGAACAGGGTGCCTCCGTGTTTTTTTTCTTTCTTAAATAAGCCTCATCATTTTCTTTTACAAATATTTTTGTTGTCTTGTTTTCCCTGGACGAGACTATGTGGCACCCCAGGTGGGACCTCGAGCGGTTGCTTGAGGGGGATGACGGTCGAGAATTGGACTGCGCAACCTTCTTCACCAAAAAAGACGAAGAACTCTGTCCTCGCAAATTCGAGATGGGGGGATTCCCGGCCGGCTCCCTGAAAGTTTCCCCCCCGAGGTCTCGATGAACTCAAACCGTCCTTTGACATGGTAAATCCAATTTCAAAGTTCATGGTAAGTCATGATGTGAACATGTGATGAATTTGAAGATGAGATGTATTTTAATTTTGTGTGTGTGTGAACACAATTGTTATCGTTGAGCAGCAGTTTTATTTTTTAATTTGAACCGCCCGCCCCCTCCCCCTCCCTTCGCTCTTTCGTCTTTCTGTGCGTGACCTCCGTGCACTCTCACCGGACAACGAGGCGCTCTAAACTGGCCTTGGTTCATCATAAAGCTTTCCGACCGCCCAAATTGACTTTTTTTTTTTCCCCCTTCTGAATTTTTATGATTCAAAAATCCCATCCTACGGCATTGCCATATGAACTTGGATGAAATGTTCAGCCTACTAATTTAAATGTATCGTTAATCATCAACCTTCAATTAATCCCCCCAGTACGGAGCCAAGAAGCGGGAGACAATGCACTCCATTTTCGCACACGGCGACTGCGCCGCCATTTTCAAGCTCTTGCCAGCGTCGGGGCGGCTGAGCAAATGGGCCTGTGAAGTGTGAAAATGTGGAGTGCAAATGATTTGTGAGCAGAGCGCGGCGCGCCGCCAGGACGCTGCGTGAAATGGCGTTCGTCACCCCGCGCTCCCCCTTCCGCACTTGACTCCGCCCGATCCGGCTTTTCCCCGTTCTGGCCCCGCCCCCCGCTACGCTCGGTTGTCTTATGTTTCATTCCCGCCCTGCGTTGAAAGCAAGCGGGCAGCATCTCGACGGGGCGCTGCCCCCGGATGTCTCCTCCCTCCCGTCAGCCGCCATTTGCAGAGCGCACCGAAAAAGTAAATTGAACCGCGCGTTTCCGCGTGCGGCATTCCTGCGGACCCCCCGACGGGAACAGAGGAGCTATTTCCCCCCGACTTCAGAGAAAATCTCCCTCTGATGGCTCTCGCGGCTCTTTCCGAGCGTGTCCGTGTGATCCTCCGCGTGGCCTCATTTGGACCGGTTGACATGACGTGAAGGCGACTGTTAAAAGTGTCCTTTCCTAGACGTGTATTCCGATGATAAATACATCCGAGTCAAGGGTGAGGACACGCAGGCTCTTCAACAATCTCCCCAAAACAGATGCGGCGCTTCTCTCGAGGCCAGCGGCTGACGACACCTCCAAAAATATGTGCTCGTGGGTCACTGAGCATTAAGGTAATAATCCAAGATTGTTGTAAAAGCTCCAAACAAGTGGCTTCCCCAGGATTGTTAACTTTACAGGGACGCCATTTTCCCCAACTGGGGAAAGGCTGCGGGCAAAAATCGCTCTCATTGCGCCTTTGGGCCCCGCGATAGCCTGTTGATATGATTCCACAGCAGGCAAATGTGAAGTCCGTTCCCCTGCCAGTTGAGTGTCTGCAAGCATCAACTGCCCCCCCCTCCACTCCCTGCCCTTTTTTTTTGTATGCGCTTATCTCAGCTGTCCTTTCCTTTCCCCTCTGCCAGCTCGCTGATGTGGAGAAAGCCTTTTGCGGATTACCCAGTAGGTGTAATCAAAGCCGGGCAGCCAGACTGCACACCGTCGGCCATCTCGAGCGCTCCCGTAGAAAGATCGCAATCCCCGAAGGACGCGCGCACTTGGCTTGCTTTCGCTCGGATTGCGTGTTGTCATTGTGGCCGAAGGACGGAATCTCGAGTTGCTGCCCAATCTGGTTTCGCCACACAGGTCGCCGGTCTTTTGAATGCAAAGAATCCCGCTCACACTCCCCATGTTGGGAGTTTTTATCGAAGAACCTGTACCGTATTTTCCGCACTATAGGGCGCACCGAAAAGTCTTCCATTTTCTTAAAAACTCACCGCGCCCTTAAAATCCGGTGCGCCTTGTGTATGGTCATTACGGTAATATGTCGACCCCAAGATGGCTCCTTGCTGGAGACATGCTTACAATATTATAACTTGCTGTTGGTTCAGTGAACTGTGCCGCTGCTTTATGAAATAAGTTTTTGTTGCAGCTCTGAAAAAGAGGAGAGCTGTGGTGTTGTTGCTTTTCACAGTCAACAAATACAGGTACGTACGTCTTTGTCCGTCTCCGTGCCTTCTCTTCTTCCGTTCGACTCGAGAGGCGTTCATGACCGCCGTCGAAAAACCTAAATTAACGATTCCTTCAATGCAATGACGAAAATAGAAAAGAAAGCATCAAAACAGAAAATCAAGCTCGTTAATCACAAAATAAATTCTATAGCCCCCCCTACAGAATTTATTTTGTGATTTCCTCGTTTGTGAATACAGTACATGCTCCGTAAATAAAACCTGATCTCTGTATCGGCATTGAGGGAAATAATTGACCACCCGCCGTTGTCCTGAAGCAGTATTGATACCACATGAGCGAGACCGGGACTCTTTGTCTGAATATAAAAAAGTATGTTGAACAAGTCTTTTGTTTCCTGGCAGGGATACTCTGGAGGAATTGTTACACGGGTGGTCTTCAAAAAGAACTGGCAGACTGGACAGGATTCAGACGTGGCGGGGAATTTCTGCTGGACATATCCGTTGAGCACCTGTTTTGGATGTTTGATTGTGAAAAAATGAAGGCTTAAACTGACACACTTTAGTGTGCGTGCGTGCGTGTATGCGAAGGTCTATGTGGGTGACGTGTGCAGGCAAAATAAGTCCTGCGACCAACACAAGGATCGACGTGTTGACAGTGCGAATGTGAGGCTTGTATTGTTAGCGCTGCTATTTTCTTGAAGCTAACTGCTTTCTCTTTGACTGACAACTTCCTTTTCATTTTATGTCAGTTCCTAAATGGGTGCTCGTGGTTGAGGCAGCATGGTCCCTCCGCCCCCTCTATTTATTTATTTTTTTTTTATTTATTATTATTATTTTTTATTTATTTTTGTTATTTTTGTTTGTTTTTAAATCGCCTACCTATACATGGTTGTTTTTTGGGCTAAAAACGCCTGACTAAACATGGTCGGGGGTTTTTTTTTTTTTGTATAATCAATGTACATTTTAGGGAATGTTACCGACAGAGACAAAAAAAAACAAAAACAAAAAAAACACACATTTTATATGATAAAAACTTGAACTACTGCGAATCGCTTTATTTTTTCAAGTGCTTGTTCAAAGAGCTATTTTTTGGAAGATTATAAATTACCCCACCACACCCCCCAACTTCCATTTCAGGAGCTGACAGCGGAATTAAATCCTGTTTTTTGTTTTTTTAATTCGCTGGGCTTAATGACATTTCTGCTTCTGCCTGAACATGTTTATTTTGTTTTGTGAATTATGCGCTGACTGAATAAAAAGAGGACGAGATGGTTGTTTCTTCGAAACACCATTTTACAATATTTTGGAAATAAAGCAATAAAACCCCCGGAGTGGTTTATTTCGAGACGCTGTCTTATGCGCTATATGCTCAACACTACAATTTTTTTCTCCCACCAAAATGGTTTTTAGCCGAAAAAAATGACCATGTATACGAACATGTTTTTAGCTGAAAAAAACGACCATGTATAGTTAGGCGTTTTTAACTGAAAAAAAAACGACCATGTATACAAAGGCGTTTTTAGCCGAAAAACACGACCATGTAAACTAAGGCGTTTTTAGCCGAAAAAAATGACCATGTATAGTCAGGCGTTTTTAGCCGAAAAAAACGACCATGTATACTAAGGCGTTTTTAGCCGAAAAACACGACCATGTATAGTTAGGCGTTTTTAACTGAAAAAAAACGACCATGTATCGAAAGGCGTTTTTAGCCGAAAAACACGACCATGTAAAACAAAGGCGTTTTTAGCCGAAAAAAACGACCATGTAGAGTAAGCCGTTTTGAGCCGAAAAAAACCACCATTTAGAGAAAGGCGTTTTTAGCCGGAAAAAAAACGACCATTTATAGTAAGGCGTTTTTAGCCAGAAAAAAAAAGCGACCATGTATACTAAGGCGTTTTTAGCCGAAAAACACGACCATGTCAACTAAGGCGTTTTTAGCCGAAAAAAACGACCATTTATTAGGAAGGCATTTTGAGCCGAAAAAAACGACCATGCATAGTAAGGCGTTTTTAGCCCGAAAAAAAAAAAAACGACCATTTATAGTAAGGCGTTTTTAGCCGGAAAAAAACGACCAGGTATAGTAAGACGTTTTTAGCCGAAAAAAACGACCATGCATAGTAAGGCGTTTTTAGCCCGAAAAAAACGACCAGGTATAGTAAGGCTTTTTTAGCCCAAAAACAAGAACATGGACAGTAAGGCATTTTCAGCTGAAAAGAAAGACCATCTATACTAAGGCGTTTTTAGCCGAAAAAAATGACCATGTATAGTAAGGCGTTTTTAGCTGAAAAAAAACGACCATGTATATAGTAAGGCATTTTTAGCCGAAAAAAATGACCATGCATAGTAAGGCTTTTTAAGCCCAAAAAAAACGACCATGGACAGTAAGGCGTTTTTAGCTGAAAAAAAAAAAAGACCATGTATATTAAGGCGTTTTAGCCGAAAAAAACGACCATGTAAAGTAAGGCGTTTTTGCCTGAAAAAAACGACCATGAATACTAAGGCATTTTTAGCCGAAAAAAACGACCATGTATAGTAAGGCGTTTTTGCCTGAAAAAAACGACCATGTATACTAAGGCGTTTTTATCCGAAAAAAAGGACCATGTATAGTAAGGCGTTTTCAGCTGAAAAAAAAGACCAAGTATACTAAGACGTTTTTAGCCGAAAAAACGACCATGTATAGTCAGGCGTTTTTAGCCGAAAAAAACGACAATGCATAGTAAGGCGTTTTTATCCCGAAAAAAACGACCAGGTATACTAAGGTTTTTCAGCCCAAAAAAACGAACATGGACAGTAAGGCGTTTTTAGCTGAAAAAAAAAAGACCATGTTTACGAAGGCATTTTTAGCCGAAAAAAAACGACAATGCAGAGTAAGGCGTTTTTATCCCGAAAAAAAACGATCATGTATACTAAGGCGTTTTTAGCCGAAAAACACGACCATGTATAGTAAGGCGTTTTTTGCTGAAAAAAAAGACCATGTATCCTAAGACGTTTTTAGCCGGAAAAAAAAGACCATGTATACGAAGGCGTTTTTAGCCGAAAAAAACGACCATGTATAGTAAGGCGTTTTTAGCTGAAAAAAACGGCATAGTATAGTAAGGCGTTTTTGACACGAAAAAAACGACATAGTATAGTTAGGCGTTTTTGGCACGACAAAAACGACATAGTATAGTAAGGCGTTTTTAGCTGAAAAAAAAAAGACCATGTTTACGAAGGCATTTTTAGCCGAAAAAAAACGACAATGCAGAGTAAGGCGTTTTTATCCCGAAAAAAACGATCATGTATACTAAGGCGTTTTTAGCCGAAAAACACGACCATGTACAGTCAGGCGTTTTTAGCCTAAAAATACGATCATGTATAGTAAGGCGTTTTTAGCTGAAAAAAAAGACCATCTATACTCAGACGTTTTTAGCCGAAAAAAACGACCATGCATAGTAAGGCGTTTTTAGCCGAAAACAACGACCATGGACAGTAAGGCGTTTTTAGCCGAAAAAAAGACCATATATAGTGAGGCGATTTTTGTCGTGCGTGCCAAAAACGCCTTACTATACGATGTCGTTTTTTTCGTGCCAAAAACGCCTTACTATACTAT